CTGATTTAGCAAACATACATAACAAATATTTTCCTTTGCTCTAACTGTAATTCAACCCTTGCTTTATTTGTTTGAATAGAAAATTGAAAATGTATCCGATTTCTGAAATTGAATTTTCCGTGAGATAAATCTTAAAAGATCCCGCAACAGGTAATTTATTACAAATACAGGCGTACAGAAACTTCCATTAGACTTGGTAATTGGTTCTGTGAAATCCCTTTGGTAATCCGTCACCTCGATATGTCCAACCTACCATTAATGTCAGAAAAATTACTATATTTAATTACTTTTGGATCAACATTTGCATTACTGGTGTCATTGTACAACATTTGATATGCAGAATAGTTTTAAAACAATTGCATGATAATCTGATACAAGTTCAGAGGGCTAAACCATCCTCTTAAGGACATTACATTTCGATGGGGTTATGATAAAAGGAACATCCTGATTCTATGACGTTGACCTGACACGGAGATAACAGATGGTTAATATACTGAGGACATTTAAGGGAAAGTCACTTGTCACAACATTATTAATGAATAGATGCATACAATTTTCTCTAAAACAGAGGGAACGATTCTGACATTTGTCTGTGGGATATTTTCTACACAAATTTTCCAAAGCCCTTGATATTAAATTATGTTAATTCTGGAATCCACATCAGCACAGGATTGATATTATTTTTCGTAAATATAAATATATGAAAGGATTTCGATACTAATGTATGCGTTTTACTGTACGTATTCATTAAGTGGTAAGTATTATTATATCCACGTACAGGTCTAATCCTAAAATTGTCTGCATTCTAAACTAAAGTCTGTAAAACGTTTGCTTAAGGTCTGGTTGCCATGAATTAAATATAACTCATTACGAACTCTTGGCATGCACCAACACATTGCCTTAATACAATCGAAAGATTAATAACGTAAGTATTTTGCTAGAATCTAACATGAGGACATCTAAAGCATGTGTTCGAGTTATAAACGATCTGAGAGACACTTTGCCACTTACGCCCCCACTGTTATGGTAATTGTATTGGCTATAGGTTAATTAACGCTTGAGGGAACGACCTGCCTTGTGAATTATGACACACTTTAATCTACCGAGGCCCGTAAACACAATCAAGAGGAAAAATAAGTGCAAACGTAGACTTCCAATTAGATTTTCATTGTGTACCTTGTGTTTTATTGCTCGTCTTGCTTCTAAGTTATTTAAAAATGAAAAACAAGAAATAAAAATACGAACATGCTAACAAGTCCAAAGTCATAAGTCCAACACAAATGCGAAGAAATAAAAAACGGTAAGATTTACACTGAGACTCCTGAAAAAGGACAACGATGATAAGACCAGGTCTTCCGGAAAGGTAAGCGTTCCTTGCTTCATCAATGAAACCTGTTATTTAAATCCTGGTCAACTCAAATGACGTTCCCAAATGAGGACAAGGTTAAAAAAAAACATCCAGGTATACTAACTAACATCAAACACGTACAGCTGCACATCGCACTAACCAACCCCCTCCCCCCCCCCCCCCCCCCCCCCCCCCCCAAAAAAAAAAAAAAAACAACGAACAAACTTTATGATGTCCGTAAAATGTCCCCATTATCAATAACGTTTAAATACGTTCAATACTCCAGGACAGCAAAATATATACAGAACTTCATCATACAACTTTGTTTTGTTCCTAAGTTTATTCAATAATGCTACGGAGCAAAACTGTTTAAACTTGAGACATCCGAGAAGGTGCCACCAATGATAAAATATGCTGCTATTGCAATTAAACTGTGGTATGCTTTTATATCACCGCAATCCAATATTATGGATAGCATGGACAACTTAATTCCAACAAACTTTGATTTTGTCGACCACATATTACGAGAAACTTAAGTGGCTGTCTGCTGTAATGCTAGCGCTGACATTTTTCAAAATTCGAATAATTTATTTATTGCAAATTTTTTACTCTTGACCACACTTATTATGTAAGTCCATTTGTTCTCATATCTTCTTTGTATAGTTTTCAACCGATCTCTCTGTATCATGGAAGGATAAACATCACAATGGTATAGAATTTCACTTTGGAATGGAGCCGTCGTGAAATGTTCCGCATCGCGATACCCTTGTTAGAAGATGGTCAATGTAAAACCATGATAACTTTGTACAATGTTATACCAACTTCTTAATTTAACGTCATGAATACCTAATGAGTGAATATCTTCCTTGGCGTGTAAGACGACACAGTGGGCATGATCAAACATATGCAGTTGATTTACAAAACTTTGATGAGGATTACTATAATGCTTCTTTTTGGAAAGCTATTTGAACCACTCATGTTTAAAAGTCATTCCAACAGCATATCCTCGATTGCATTATTTGTGTATAATTAACATTGTCTTGTTGAAAATATTACCCACAGCTAAAAGTAAACTATTGTCATGTTCACCAGAGTCTGGTATGGCAATGTGGACACTCTCGAGAGTGAAATCATTGCGGTGTTAACCATAGCTGGGTTATAATATCATTGTGATACTCCTTACTCATGAAGTCGAATTAATGGTACGTTGATTCAAATAACTCTAAAGAGCATTTGATCAACAGCCTCCTTTGAAAACCCATTTCTTCTATAAGAACATTTGATTTATTCATTCTGTACACCTTCAAACCCCATTCTAAGCTGAAAGAACGCCTTCACTCTATTGATACGAGAGTTTTTTTTTTAGGAAAGCATAAGGCGGTTTACTAATATGTTAATGAGTTATGCTGAAGCGTATATCGTTACAAAATACGTCCACATCAAAGAAGATATATTTGGACGATGAAATCATAAAAATGATCGATTTTCTAGTTAACAATATCTAGCAGTCCCTTTTTATCACTGAAAAAAAAAGATTTTCTAAAAAATGTATTATTGCCGCAGACAACTAGATGTATATATGTATTCATGATATTAAAGTTGCAAGTTTTACAGTATCTAACACGAAACAAACATGAACATATACATATGTAACGCATTGCAAATGCGCATTTGTATGTTTTGTCGATGTAAATAACATGATAAACGAGAAATTAAACAAAACCATGCCATTTATCTCCCGACGAGGTTTTATAATTTGAGCGGAAATAAATATTAGATGATGTTCGAAAATTGCATCGGTCCAAACATCGATCAGACAACAGAATATGTGAGATCACATGTCAATTTTAAATTGATGTTAGGTGAAAACTTGCGCATTTCCCTTAAACAGCAACACTGTTTACTTTACATTCATCGTGGCCAGGTCAATTAATCGATCTTCACCTGTATCCGACCAAACGTCAATCGATGAACCTGTCCTTTAAAACGTGAAACTCTGACGGATTTTCCTATTTCACTCAAAAATCTCTACAATAACCCGTCAGGTAGTGACAAAACTAATAAAATCCATGTAAGTGTAATGTGTACGACACCGTGATTATGTCAGATTCTGTAATGCACTTTGTTAACGAGAGAGAGAGAGAGAGAGAGAGAGAGAGAGAGAGAGAGAGAGAGAGAGAGAGAGAGAAAATTAATCAAATGAATAACAAACTTCATATCTGAATGACTCATTCTTTACTTATCAAATGACTTGAGGTGAGAAACAGAGAGCTAAAATATAGTTGTATGCTTATCAGATTCACCGAATGAAGATCTATAAGTAACATAAACTTTTAAAAAGAACAAAGAAAATATGGACTTGTTCACAGAATTCTAATTCATACGAAAATGCAATGAGATATACGTTGTGGCTCTTGACAAAAATGTAAAAGGAGAATAAGACCAGATATTCCGGAAGGATAAGTGGCTCCAACTAAGGCGACGAAACAATTTGTGTAAACTTTGGTTGGTCGATATAGATTCCGTTTCACGAGGAAATTATGTGGCCAACTGCTTAAATCGATTTTGTTGTGGTTTTGCTATGTCATATGGAAACATTTGAATCACTAAAGTGTACAAATATCGATGTAAACAAAGAACATTTAAAGAATTCGATCTAAACGCAGACCATTCAATGAAACATCTTTGTCATTCTTAATGTGTGTTTTCCTTACGAAAGGAATAGACCAGGTAATATAGGGATGGCGTCATTCCATCATTGTTTTCTCTTTATTCACTCATTTTCTCATAGCTAGATCATGTGATTGATTTGAAATTGAATGCATAGTTGTATTATGAGAAACTTCACTTCTAGTCGACTCATAACCTCAGAATTATTGTCCTGCATATGTTTAAAGAAATGATCGAATTCCACTCATTTCAACGGAGCTGCAAGAGAATATTGAGCTGAAATTAAACACGCGGAATTGTTAAGGGAAGAGTACAGGTCAAGATCACACACTATGTATCTGGCTCAGTGTCCTTGAATTTGTTTACACTCTTTTGGTCAGCTTTGTAAAGTAGATACTGAATGATTTTCATCCTTAGTGAACCAACATCTGATATTTTCTGAAAATTCAAGGTTGCACCTCTTTCAAAACGAAACACTGATATATCTCATCGATTTGTGTTGCAGCCGCACGTATTTTTGTTTCAATTGAACATTGACAATAGCGAAGCAAATGGAAGTGTAATGGTATTCCCGAAAAGACTTTGTACATACAAATTTAGCTAAAAATAAGGGACAATCTAAGATCCTTGAAATATAGTACATATACAGGGCGATTCTGGTGTTTCTTTCTCGTTATGGGAATAATGATAAATAACTTCACATTAAAGGTGTTAGATATTTATTAACACCATAGCGAGGGGATATTCTATTTAGATGACCATGGTCACAGCCTTTTATAACCATGTATCATGTCATTACACAACTTCAGTTTTGGACACAAAGTGCCATACAATTTCCTTATGCTTCGGACATTGTACAGAAAAAAAATCAAAAATAATTTTTGCAATGAGGATTAAAATTAGTGTTCACCTTGTTGTGTCATCCGTGGTTATAGTATGTAAGTATATGTAATTGAATGATGATATATCTTTATGTTTTCAGCCAAGTTCCGGAAGGAGTTCCGAATGACCTTGACCTGTTGTCGCTGTCGTCGTCGGCAGAGCTCGTCACTTGTTCCACCGGGTATAACCTCTTCGGCACGAAATAGAAGCTCTATTCCTCGCACAGAAAGGTTCACCATGAATACCGTGACGATAAAACAGCCGGGATGGATTACGTCACCTCGGTATTCCACCGGAAGTGAGAAAGGCAACCACATACGGATAACGTCTACCCGATAAAAATAGAACCGGCCCTAAATTTAAAAGTATTCCAGATTTCTTGTGTGACTGAAATACTTTACCTCTTGGTAACTTTTGCTTTGTAAATTATTAAGTTTTTTTAAATAAAGAAATATTGTTTATTTCAGAAATGGGTTATTAAAATAGCCATCTTAAACTTATAACATTTTCAGAGATACTTTCTACGTCTTACCCAGAATAACTTCATATTTGTAAATTTATCAAGACGAATTGACCCCCCTTCGTGCTTCACCACCGAATTTTCCGGAAGTGAGGATATTACTTCGCTCACAACATATATTTGATTAATGAACAGGATGAAGGATTTCGTGACTTGACAGAGGCTGGACAAATCAAGTGACCGTCGGTCGCGGGCATCAGAGGAGGATGACCATTGAAACCCTAGACAGTAAACAGGAGTGTCTCAGAATGACACCTATCGATATTGAATTTCTAAATGGAAGAGGAAATTGCGTGTCCGGAATTCGGACCGGAACTACGAACATACTTATTATTCATAGCTTTAATGGTACATTCACCCCACTTTGCTTTTCTTCAGTTGTTGATCTCATAAAGAAGTACAAAAGAAAAAAAACCCAAAACAAACAAAAACCGTACATATGTAAGAAATCAAACTAAGGGACCAAACTTTGGTATAAAGAGGCGACAGCAGGAACTAAATACATACACTTAGAAAAGTTAAGAAAAATTACAACAGTATCTTATGCAGTGTTAAATCAATAATTCAGAATGTCTGGGATGTATTATGATAACTGCCACTAACATCTGATGGTAGCCCCAGAGGTTTGTCGTTACTACACAGTGTATCAGTATCATGATTGTGTGTCAATACGGCACTATTGGCAAGGAACAGGTTGTCTTGACAAGTGTGTCTCTATTGTATACCAAGTACGTAAAGGGTACGTCCATTGTTTTGGAGAAACACAGACATATAATCTGAATCCAATAGATTAACAGTTAGATGAATATATTGTATGATGTAAATAAGATAACAATTTAAAGAGTTATTAAAAATGGGAACGATGTACATGTAGATATGTTTTGTTTCCGAAAAAAGTGATGGAGGAACGAGATATTCATGTCTCCAAGGAAATTGAGATGATTAATGTGAATATTGTATTTGCGAGAGAGGGATGGAATTTGAACTGAAAAGTACAAGAGAAAGGAACATGACATTTCACAGAGTGCAAGAGTGATAGAATGTAGAATGTGCATTTTATATCGAACAAGAGATGAGATAGAAGTTAGAATGTATTTTTACAGGATTTGGGAGAGGTAAGATGTAGAATTTGCATTCCATAAGGTTAAAAAAGATGGAATGTACAGAGGCAGTTAAAAAACTAAATGAACCGAAATGAGTTGATTGGTGATGGGCTTTTTAGCAGAAAACGTATCACACGCCTACAAACATCTCGTAGGGTTAGAGATTTAGAGTCACATATATAACGTAAAAGGTACGTCTGTATCATTTTTCCTTAAATTCCACCAAAAACAGGAAATATTGACCCATATACTTGAATGTGATATATCATTTTATATGGACGATTAGATTTGTTGTATAATGTCAATATATATTTGACTTATGTTTGTAATTTTCTGAGTTTTAAAATATTTATAATTTACTCGTATACCTGTAGACGGTTATATTGTTTTCCTCGGAATGTGGATATTTATTAACGTTTAGGAACGTGACATAACTTAATTGAGTTAGCCAAGAAACAGAAGATGCTTACTATTCCGGAACACATGGTCGTATACTCCTTGTTTATTGTTTCACGACTCTTCGTGAAAGTGTCTCTTTTGTTCATATTTAGCTCTGGTTTCATGGCATTGGAGTTTGGATTATGATTCTGTAAACATGTTGTTATTTTCTTTGTCGTTGTTGTCTAGATATGATAAAGATATTTTCATCCATAGTTGTATGTTTTTTCCAGTAATTATGTTATAAGGGTGAACGGCTGGTCTTTATACGCATTTCTGTCTTCAGCCTTATACAGCGCAACATCGGGCTATTTGGTCAAGAACACAATTTCATCTCATTATTACTGTGAAATCATTATTTTTCGTGGGGATTTTATTTTCGTTGATTGCTTGGTGACTATCAATCCAAAAATTTATATCACCACGAAATAATATATTAAACTTGATATGGATTATAGTATTTCATGAGCAAGTTCTTGAAATTAAAATGTACGGAATTTGAGCTCCACCAAAATGTATAACTTAACAGTAACCTTATTAGGTAGTAAGTAAAATTTTGAAAAAACTTCAATATCAAAACTTGAAGACCATTTATATGTTTAGATTTAATATTCAAATAGATATGAAATACAAGGACATCAATAGCGACATTGAAAGCCGCGTAGTAACTTTTCGTATGGTAAACTCTCATGAATAAGTAAGCTTTTATATGAGAATATAAAATTTTACATTGAAATGTATTTTTGGTTAACATTATTTACGAAAAAGGACTGTTTTGTCGTGTCAGATATCATCTATTTAGTTGTGTCCTAGATAAGAAATCGAGAGAAGAATGAAGACAAAATGTGTTTGTCCGTTACTGTTTACTATCGTTTTACAGCTGATCAATTAAGTCATATACACTATTGGTTATAGCGATGTGGAACACTGTTTAGTTTTTAAACTGTTGATTGTTTCTGTTGTTTTGTTTTTTAGTTTGAATAAAAATGAAGCGTGACGAGTTTAATTTGCTCACTTGAGCTATTGTAATTGAATTTTGAAAACATATGATAAATAATGTTTATTTTGTATCCTTATCATTGTGGAAGTGTCGATTTAATAATGAAATCCCGGAAATAAATAAGCAAAAGCAATAAATAGGTTTCGTATAACGTACATACAAAATATTCTTTCCTGAGAACAATTCAAACACTCTCAAGCAAATAACACAATAACGAAAGACCTAATTAAGGATAATTGCTGCATGTTTTTTTATCTAATCATCTCCCTGTTTGTATAGATCGTGGTTAGATTAGATAGTGGTTAGGTGACTATTGCACTAATTGTTGTACTGTGGATGCTATTTTTAACAGTGATCTGATTAACAAATATTAGTGCGACTTTTGCACATTGTAATATAACGTTTAGAATATTATATACAACAAACCCAATATCAATATTATATTGTATGTTTATCTGCTTATAAATATTTTTGTGATTAATCTGAATAAAAAATTCTCATATTTCTCTTTTTTCAAATTTCACTTTTGCATCAGGCAAAAACTTCAACGATAAGAGAATCACCTCAAATCATATCCTAACCCATGTGTTTAAGGAAAGACACGAGCAGGAACGGTGAAGACACATGGCAGTTCAAGTCCGCCCCTTCGCATTCCAGGAACTGATGCAGATGCTAGAGAAATACCAGACAAGACTGTTGTAGAGCAATTATCTGTTATATGTAAATATCACAAGAGTCGATATAAATATGGAAGGAGACAAATAAAACAATCTTAACAAAACAAGATAAAAGAATTTTCCACTTTGAATATTTTAGATCTTTGAACTTTACCGCAACCTTTACTCACAACGTTGAAATTCTGACTCGACTTGCTAGTCATTTGTCCAAATTCCTGATAAAGGTTTACAATATCTCGCTTGCGACACATGATCAGTGACAAGATTCATAATATACACACTGAATTTGATTTTATTTTTGCGAAATATCCAATATTTTAAATTCACATTTTAGCTGTAAGGTTAGTGTATCCTATAGTCTCTATCTTAACATTTGATTTTACTGGCTTGATTACTCTTATTCGCCTTCTAGATCTGTTTATGGCCCCTGGTAACACCATGGACTCATAAAAGGCAAGAACAGCTGGTTGATGCAGTTTAATCCATTATGGAATACACGACGTCATATACTTAAGTTGTACTGAAATGTGATACGCATGCGTCCTTTGGAACATCCGTTGCAGTGTAAGTGAACGTAAGAAATCTCCATTCATCACTGAATATTATATTTTATTAACTTTTTTTGTTTTTGTTTTCATGATCTAACAAGGAAGCACATGCCATTAAAAGTTTGACAAAGACAAGGATCGAATACATTTCTGCGTGACAATATCTTTGTTGTCTGTTTAAAAATCTATAGCCATGACTTGAGAACAAACTGTGCACTCTTGACCCGCTTGCTTGTTGTCATAGCTATACGGATACATCAAAAACCCTAATAGAATAGAAAAATCGATAATATTAATGACAGTGCCGGAAAGTTCTACATTCTGACATCAAAATCTATCGAGTAAGATAGGATAGCTTAATTGACAGCATGTGGGATTTCTGGGATCACGTATAGCAAAATCTGTTCAATAAAAAGACATCATTATCGGTTGAGCCGTTTACAGAATGAAAACGACCAAATCCTCTCAGTAATTGTTACTATAAGCTTGTGGTGAAATTACAATTTAATACTACAACATATTGCCAGTGTCAATTGATTCACTTATTTCAACAACAAATAATCAAATGCGTTAAATGGCATCTTCGTTAGAAAAGCTGACAATAGATGTTTGAAGGGGTGTATCATTAAAGTCAATCGTGTTCATTGATGTCTCTTGTGTCACGCTCCTACAGATTTATCAACGAATACGCATCATTTTCTTCAAGACAACTAATATTGTAAACATATGTCAGTTTGGTTATGAATTTTTTTGGGGTAAACGTTCTATTAACAACTATGGACGTTTCAGAATATGTGCTTAGTGCTGCAATATAGATATATATATATATATAAGCCTCCTTGTGACAGCGCGGAACTGAAGTGGACTTTATAGTCAGTTATCATACCGATACATACTGGTAAAGACACCCTATCAAATTACATTTCACTGATAACAAAAAAAGGGCGTCGCTACACTATTTACCACAATGCTGAACATTAAGGAGGAAGTAGAAACTACAATTTTAAAGACACTGGTACATCTGTTTATCAGGGACCAGAATCCAAAGCCTCCATTCCTCACAGAGGCGAACGTTCAACCAATGGTAAAAAAGGCCACAGTGTCAAAGGAGACATAGGAAAACGCGACTTTTCAGAAAAAGGGTATGACGATGAACACGCATAACACGATAATGTTATCTGATGGAAATTTGTTTTTAGGTCTACCAGACCTAAATGGATGACTTTCTGTAAGCATGACAGAACACATGTTCATTATCTCAAAGTGAAATAAACATGTCAGTTATTGAATGTCACATGGATGGAACATGTGTCTGTGTTCTAATATAGGATCATCAACCTACACACATTGAGACGAAAATAGAGTAGTTATATCACGCTCCAGTTTACTATATGCAATAAAACACCAGATTCAATGGGAATTCTGTCAATTTAAGGATCCCGACCAAAGCTAATGTATCCCATAAGTGTGAAGAAATGTCTCTCGTCTTACATCTGTATTCATTACAGACTTTTCTGAATGTACTTTCTCTGTGGTTGTCCAACAAGTTACACTATAGCCATTGACACATTTGTAGGTGTAGTTAAATTACAAAGTTGATGCTCTTGTCGTGTGTGATGGATGTATTTGTCTATATAATAGAAAATTGTTTCATTTCGATGGGATATAACACAATCTAAGATTTAACACTGATGCCGTCCATGGATAATTCTTATCAATGTACAGAACAATTGTCATACACATCCGAACTACAAAAAAAAAAAAAAAAAAAGAGTTCAAGTTGCCCTGTAATAGATTGGTAATTTACTTTTTTTCCCAATAAAACAATGACATTAAAAACAAATCAACTGCTTATATTTGAGTAGCGGCGAACATCCTGGTTATCATATCTGTACGTTTTACAGAAATTCACCAATACCAATTTTTCTGGGTATTATCGACAACACGTGTAAAACCATTGGTTTTAAGTGTCGACAATACCCTGTTTGGACTAAAAGAAGACTTTTTATGGGAGACGTGTCATTAAACATTTGTCATTGTTTGTAGAAATTCGTGTGTTGTTATAGTGAATTTAGTATGGTTATAATTCAATCTTGAAGTAATCAATCCATATAGTAGACACTATTATATACATATCTAACTAACAGTCCTGTTTACACTTGCACATTTTCCTTATATAGATGATAACTGTAAGTCTTTAGATGATTGATATACAGTCCAATCTCGTTATATCGAACTCATACATGTATAACTCGAAGACTCCGTTTATTCGAAGTACTTCATCGGTCAAGTCCAAATTTCACACCATTCTAACTCACTTCAATCAAATTCCCGGTTTTCCCACGGCCCCGTCGACTTCGAGATAATGAGATTGGGTTGTATTTATGTCAGTACTTCAACTTCGATTTGATTATAATTACTCGTCTTAATAAACTACTACGTGTGCTAATCTATCTGATATCTGAATTTTCACCCTTTTTCTCGAGAACTTAAAACTGCTGCGACTACGGCTTTACCTGAACGTATACAGAATAGTAGTCTGCTGAAATTGCCAAATATTCCGCATTGGTCTCATTCCACAGATCGATGATAAACATAAAAACGATATTGCCCATGTGAAAGCTACAACAAAACTGACGGGTCGAATGTATCCCATAATGCAGTGTTATTACTTTATGAGGAATGCCTTTTCTTATTAGATACCAGGCTCCTGTTGCTCAAATGTTTCAGTAGTAGATGAAAAAGTCAAATTGCTGTCACTGAACAAATAAGAATGTTTAATACAAAATTTACATTTAAAACGTATCACTCACAAACCTAGAGCTGCCAAATTACACTCTGACCTGTTTCAACAAACCTACAGCTGCCAAATTATGCAAAAAGCAAAACAAAACATGTGTCCAATTTTGTTGAATAAATGTTTGAAGGTTTTTTTTTATAAACACTGGTCATCAAAGTAGCCTTTGAACAACCGTGGCCAGGTATACGATTCTGACAGCATGGAACCACCATAACCGTCTCAACACATATGTGATATTTAATCAATTAGAAAATATTTTAACTATGCGTAGGACAGTATGTTTCAATAACATAGATAAACTTGTTATGGTCAGGTCGAATCAATCACTGTTCTATAGATATGTAAAATGACAAACTACACAGAAAATCGTCTGGTTTTGTGGACAGATATTGATTTGTGTGAATTGATTTAAATGTAAATTGTCTCTTCTAGTTCAGAAAACAATTTATCAACAGATTAAAAACAACATTAATATACTCCGTAGAATTCAACATGGAAATCCATTTGTAAACAGTTCTTCTAAATATCATTCTACTCCTAATTTATCAAACCGATCCTTCTCCGTTTACGAATATATATACATTCCTCAAAAAGAGTCCATCTACTTTATCTGAGGAACTGATTGGGAACAAACAAAATATTCTATCTGCAGTTCAGATGTCGCTTTGATACATCGCTATGCTTTCAACACTGGATAAAGTTGATCATATATGAAAAGTGCATTTCAATTTTTGCAATATTAACAGAACAATATGCAGGTCAATGTGGGTTTTTATGTTAGCAGACTGAAAGATAGGAGGCATGTTGTATTTGTGCTGTCTGTTTGTCTGTCTGTTTGTTTGTCTGTTGTCAACTTTAACCTTGCCCATCACTATTGCACCGTAAGAGGTAGGGCTTTCATATTTGGCATGTGTTTTCTTGTGACAGGATCTTTCAGGTGCTACCAAAATTTTGATCATGCGATTTTAATGCAATGGGGGTATAGTGTTTCATAGACACATCTTGTTTTATTTTTTTCATCTCCTAAAAGTTGTTTATTTTCAATGTAAATGCCATCACATTGACAAATGACATCAGGTTCTTGACGATGGATATCATGTGGCAACTTTCAATAGCTTTACTTAAGTACTATTGATACTTTTTACACACTTTCATATTCCATTAAGATATTAAGATTGTTCTTGTATGATTTGTTTAGAACTTTGTGATCATCCCACTAACAAAAACAACAAGAAAATTACAACATATAAACAGAATCATAATCTAAACCTAAAACTAGGTCAAATTTCAAAAATATAAACAACAGAAAGATTCACTAATGCTAGGAGAATAAAAAACATGTGTTCCGGAAGTGTAACCGTTTTTTGTTTCATCACATACACCTACCATCTAAACCTTGGTTCACCTGATTATATAATGTTATGTTCCCAAATGAGAACAAAAAGCACATATTTTTCGCAATTCCATCTAGAAGGTATGGAAATTGAGGGTCGAAATGTGGTATCATATTTTTTTTAAACAATTGTTTGTTTCTTTATAGAATCTGACTTACCGGTACCGGTATAAAGACAAGACTGAAAAATCCTACTGTATTAAGAATATCCCCGTAGACCAACTTGATGTACTTTTTTGAGAGAAATCACTGTGTATTATAGGACTTTCATAATGATAATTACATCTATCAGGAGGAAAAAACGTACCTGAAAAGTGTACCTTTTCTCGTCTCTTATTCTACTTCCGTTTCAATTAAGTTTGGTTTTCGCTCCTTGATATTAATTAGAAATGAAAGCAATTTCGATATCACATCAACAGTACATCCGACTCTTCGTTCTGGAATGGACTTTTACAGGCTGCGTACAATATTGTGTTATTTGAGAAATATCAATGTGCAGAGGAGAAATCATTGACGGATTTAAAAGATCATTTTTGTGATTGTTAAGGTTCCCTGAATCACCAAGGGGCATTGAACCTGCAATACAATAGGAGCAGTAATCAAGAAATGGCAAATATCGATTTGTTTCCAACATTAATTTATTGTTGATGTTTTTCCCTTTTTGATCCTCTTGCGTCTGTATAAAAAAAAAAAAACAACACTTTAATCTTTGAATTTGAATATTTCGAATAGTAATCTTCACGTTTTGCTATTCGTTTTGATTCTAAAAATATCCAAGAAAAGTCATTTGCCCTAAAATTAGTCTTAAGCCGTTTGCATCGACAAATAATCATTCAATTTACAAACTACCACAAACAATTAACATGGAATTCATGAGAGTTATTTCCCTTAAACCGTTGTTATATATTAGCAAGAAGTATTAGCCAAAAAGAAAACTAAATCTTTTTTTCGGACAAAAATCCAAACAGGTAAACGTGAGGCCTGTACTAAAATAGAGACTAAGAAAAAAAAAATGAAAGTGAAGAGAATTCAGAACATTCCAGTAATGTTCTTAAGTAAGAAGATATATAGTTAGGATGTTCAGGAGTTAGTTCTGTTTTTATGTAGTACTCAGTGGAAGCACTTAAGTTTATATTTTTCTCAGAACGTTTGTTTGATTTTTTTTTCATCCCGTGATCAACCATGGTCATTTTAAGGCGAAGTCGACTTTAAGTACCTGCATGTTTGCTACCTCACTGAAAAAAACATAGCTCGGTCCTCGCATACCATTCAGAGAACACAACCACGCCAAAACAGACCGGTCCGTTTCTCAACTTCCTGGCAACACATACCATAAAAATCAAGATAAATAATACTTTCAATCATATTCTAAGCTTTAGTTTAATGACTTTATAAAACATATGATGAAAACACCTTTTTTCATTGACTTGTTTTCAGCTCAACAGGTCTGAAGGACCTGTAAGTTTATGCCATATCGCACTGTCCGTCCCCCGTCATCTTTGCCTCTCCGAATCGCTGTTACTCATAAACAAGTAAACGGATTTCCGGTCAAAAGATAGTTGAGAAACATTTTAGCGTCTTATTGGTTGGTCTGGGCATAAATGGGTGAAGAAAAATCAATTTTGTGTAAGTTGTTGGTCTCGGCCCCTTGGGGCGGGAATGGCGGGGCCAGATACGAGAAATACAGCAAATTCGTTTAATAAATACAGAAAAGACAAACTTGTGTCCGCTCTGGAGCAGTTTTGAGTAAAGGAGACTTAATTACGTATGTGAAGGGTTAGATGGACACGGTCAAAAAGATGAAATAGAGAAAAAGCTTGGAAGTCTGTCTTCCTTTGTTGTGATAAGGTTAATTTGAACCACTTTTGGTCGGAAAGATTATTGGATTAAGCAGGTTTAATTTTGTATAAAAGTCTGACGCCAACTGAGAAAATATTTAGAATCTTTCTCATTCTGTTTGGATCAGCAAAT